GCTGACTCTTAAACCTTAATGAGTTCAAAGCATTTCGGATGCAGGATGTTTGATAGGAAACATGCCTAAAGAACTCACCTATGCATGGGTGGAGATTCGACCGTCTCCTATGGTGTCTTATGAAAAGATACCTAGAGCCCTAGCAGAAACCAGGACTAGCACAGGGTCATAAATGTGCAAAGGCTAAGGAAAGTGTGGTTCAAAGTGAAAACTACCACAGATGAGTTTGATCTTGTGTGATCGCTGGATTTTAGACATGTACTGGTTCAAGTCTCTGCGACACCATGCATCTATCTTCTATTCAGTTGGTCTAAGGGGGATTCAAGTCCTTGCGACATCTACCTTATGCACAACGATTGAAACGATGGCACCATAACACGACACTAGTTTAAAAACTTGTGGGGGATTGTTGGATTTTTTGGTCAAAAAATAGCTTTCCAAAATGAGTTTTCAAACTATATATATATTAACTACAAGTATTTTTCATAAATGCTTTGTAGCCTAGTGGAAAGTTAAAGTTTTGGTATTTCAAAAGGTCCCTTGTTCGAGGCTTGCCAACGACAAGCCGAGAAGTGTTTTATTTGAATTAATCCCTCATAAGTTCTAGTGGGCCGTGGGCCGTGGGCCAATGGGCCGGGGATCGGGGCTAATCGGGCTGAGGCGCTAGGTGACGCTTTGTTAGGCGCACTTTTCACTTCGCACGGATGCATCGGGGCGCACTTTTCACTTCGCACGGATGCATCGGGGCGCACTATGGTCGCCACGAAGGTTGCCTCGCAGGCTGCTTCGCAGCATGCGGACGAGCTACGTATTCATTCGAGGGTGACCCTAGCGTTCTCGTAGTTTGACAAGGTCCGCTCGTTCGATGAGGTTCGTCTGTCATACAAGGTTCGCCTGTTTGATGATGTTCGTTCGTTCGACGAGGTTCGTTTGTCATACGAGGTTCGCTTGTTGACGAGGTTTGTCTATCATATGAGGTTCGCCTGCTTGACGAGGCTCGCTCGATCGACGAGGTTCGTATATCATGCGAGGTTTGCCTGCTTGACTATGTTCGCTCGTTCGACGATATTCGTTTGTCATACGAGGTTTGCCTGTTTGACGACGTTCGTTTGTCAAACGAGGTTCGTCTGATTTGTTGAGACGTGACCCTCGCGTTTCGTAGCAATGCGTCCATTGATTGCCTCGTATTCAGGAGTTAATGCATGCAGCAGTTACAATAGCATTTAGAGCAATTTAATGCATTGATGTTACAATCTTAATTACCATTAAGAATTGTAACAGTCACATTAATTGCTTGTGACTCTTGAGCTGGCCTTAGAGGCCTATAAATAGCACCCTTGGGGAGCTCTTGGTAGTAAGCTGAAAATCCTCTCGCGAGCGTGGAACACGAACGTCGCGTGCTGGAATACGAACGTCGATCCCGACGTTATTGCTGTTGTGCTGCTGCTGCAGGAACTTATGCCCACAGGAACTTGTCTTAAACCGAAAGGTTTTGAACCGAAAGGTTCTGAGATCGAGGAGATCTTTTGCCTAGACCAAAAGGTCTTATAGATCGAGGATATCTTGACAATACTGGGTTGGTGCACACCAAAGTATTGCACTGTTGTTCCTGGAAGCAGTTTGACCTTGGGATCCTTGCACCGGAGTAGGCCAAATATTGCTTTAAGCACAGCGTTTCTATAACGCACAGCAGTTAACTGAAAAAGTTTAAAAATACAGCACATCTAATTCATTGATTCATTCCAGATTTAATCTTAATTTCCAACAGAAAGCGCACAAAAGAAATCTAACATTTAATTATCCCAAAGGAAAAACGTGTACACCATAAGAAGCAAGATATGAAAACAAGAGATCACCGCATGCCGCAAATGTTAAATAAATTAGCTTTAGATAAGATCAAAGTGAGATTAACAGAAGTTATCTGGTATTCTGAGGTTTTCTTCTTGTTCCATACCTAAAATGGAAGTATGTCCAGATTCTAATAGCAAAGAGCTTAATATCTAAAATGGAAGTATGCCCAGATTCTAGTAGTAAAGATCATAGGATTGGAAGTTGCAAAAGCAAAGTACCCATTACCGCTTAAAGTAGCAACAGCTGAGAGTTGCCAACATGACAACAAGAATGAGAATACAAGGGTATATTTTCAAAAGAGAGAATAATAAAGGAAAGGGATAGAACTCTACAAGCCACTTCACAAATCGTTTAGGAATATCCTACTTCCGGTACCAATATTTAATCTGCAGTGGAGACAAAATATGGTAAAAAAAAATTATTTAATCTGCAATGGCCTACTTATGATCAGAAGATAAGTGGGAACAAGAACTAAAGAAAGAATGATTTCCTAAATATAATAACTGGAAAAAAGCATATCCTTCAAGGCTTCATCTTAGAATGTCATAAAAGAGGAAAGGAAAAATCCAAGCAAGAAGAATCATTGAGGAACCAAACCATATATATTTAAGAAGCTAGACTAACTGAAGTAGCCAAGTTGTGTTTATTGTTCGCCAAGGGTGCACACATAGGTTCCCGATAACCAAGCTACATGTGATAAGAAGCTAGACTAACTTATATGAATTGTGGGAATAATTAGCAATTTGATGATTTGAGAGAATAATTTAATAACTATTAAAGATTTAAAAGATCAATATCTAAAAAGAGCCAAACAAAGAGAGAGAGCCGTCAGCTCCTCTTCCCCACATTCGTATGTAGGAGTCTGTAGTGGGTGATTCTTGGAGGTTTCTCATTGTAAGATCAATGTGATTACCCTCTACCCTTGATAGTACATGGCCGCTCTACAATAACAATCCACATTTGATAATCTCTAAACTAATTTTTTTAAACTATTAGATAGAATTCTAGAATATCTTTGAATGCTGTTATGTAAGATTATGTATTAGATCACATTACATGCATAGTTTACCTAGATTATGTACTAGAGCACGTTACATGCATAGATTACCTAGAATCAGCATTGGCATCAATCATATATGTAGCTTACAATGTACTTCCTAATAAACGGTCATTGGCATCAACCATATGTTAGATAAAAACTTTTGTTTTAAGAGATGAAACCATAATCAAACCCAAGATCGTTCATGTCAAACTACTAAGAGAATTAAGAAGATGGCAAACTATACCTGAATCTATGGAGTTGGATGTGATTTTCTAGTTTAGAGATATAGATCTTCCAAATCTTATACGTATGTCTTCCTTAGAGAAACCCTTCTCTATAGCTTTATGAAGATGGGATATCAGAAAGAAACTGTACGTAGAGATTTAAGAAACCACAACCCTTTTAATAACTAACTTTTTCAGTTACTCATAATTATCAATTCAGCCCATCATAGAATTAATAATTACATTTTGGTCTCTACACATAGGAGGCTCATACTTTAATGACGCATTAAAAACCCAAAGTTTAAATTAAATCACTTTAATGGGCTAATCTTAATTGACAGCACATAATACACATTCATTTAATATATTGGCCTAAATATTGGATTTATATCCAACAATCTCCCACTTGGGGCATACATAATACTATATCAATGGGAATTATGATACAGCCATATGAGCTCATGAATTTTGCTATCAAACAATATGCATCCTTAACAGTCTCGTCCATTAGGTATATCAACATAGGATTAAAGCGACTCCAATTTAATGACCCGCTCCACTCAAGTGGACGGGCCCCACACACCAACATACTTCTACTCACATAAATGAGTAGATCCCGTCTGTTGCTCCTTAACTTGTCTCGTTCAGCTATTGACTCTCCTACTTCTCAATGCCCACGCCGCACTAATGATGTCCATATGCGAATTTCAAAAGACAAGAAGATCATCAGAGAACTTATAGGAGGTCGATGGTGGCAAAAGGTGGTTGGTCAGTGATGATGATAGGAGAACAGAGACTAGAGCTTATTGAAAGGATTCACTCTCAGTGACTAATCAGATAACGTGACTTCACGCCAATGGAATAGCCCTAATATCATAACAACTAAAAACATCTCAACTAAAACCCCTAACGAAAAGATAACAAAAATCATCACTATATATCCTACCACTTGCTAACTAAATATCCAACTAAAACATCACAACCAAAATAAAATCAAATTCTTACAGAAAACTAAATCCTAAAATCTAAGCTTCAGTGTCCTGCATCATTTTGACTCGGGTTACCACGACTCAGGGAGCTGGCAAAGAGGGTAATGGGTGATACCCACTCATTTATGCAAGTGGGAGCATGTAGGCATGTGGAACCCGCCCTACTGCCTGAGACGGGTCATTAAATCATAACTTGCCCCTTAGGGGCTTGGTCAACCTAGGCCTCAAGTAAGGATTGGACTAAAACCCTAGCTAAACTAAGGCTTGTACTTCTGTTCCTAGCAATAGCATACACTGACGAACAAAAACAGAGAAATAATAATCTAGGCTATCTAGCAATGATCCGTATCTGGTGATCATTAAAATTGTTTTTTATCATTAGAAGAACTTATATCAGAACCCACCTCAAGGAGCAATTAGACACTACTTACCTTCTTTTCCATCACATTCCAAATCCTAAATAATCACTACCCCATGTAATTATAACCCTAAGCGTAAAACTATGACAAACCTCACCCTTTCTTTGCATTTACCTACTTGTCCATCCTTTTATAATACACATCAACAAATAGTCACAACACTCACCAAATTAACAAGCAAAAGTTTAGAAAATACTAGCGTACCAACGCACTGAAAAACATGCAAGCCATATACTTTTTTCAAACAAAGTTAGCATGTTCGGGACTTGCAAATGCGAGAAATATTCAAAAGTACGTAACTCTTTTGATTCCATCCTCCTACAACAATTCCTAAGCCCACACCATAATAGGCCATTTTTTTAGAGCCCAAAAGAAAAAGTAACAACCAATTAGGACCACACGGAATTATTCCCATAAACTAGCAAAGGGAACCTAATCACATGATTCCACAAAAGTACACTTAACAATATATAACTGACGGAATCAAGAGCATATACTCATCTAGATACAACTAGCCCAACAATCAAGCAACAACTTCTTGGTCTGAAAATACTTCAACAAACCAAAGTTTGCACCTCCTACTCGGTTCCAACGATCCCAAAAATTAAAAAAAAAAACTCTTTTGTATCAATTCAGGCATCGCACACTAAAAAAGCACAGAGCAGTAAATTTTTTCTGTTTATTTCCCTTTTTCCCCCTCCTATAATAACATAGTAAACACTGGAAGAAGTAAACTTTACCCGATTCGATCCGACTCGTCGCAGGACCCTCAAAAGGAACCCCTCAATCTAACCCGGGCCGTCTCCTCCTTGCCGCAGTTCATCCCGCACCCGCACTGCGGGGACTCATCGAAATTATCCACGGGGAAATCAGCTCCAGCGATCCCAACAGAGAACTCGAGATTAGCCCCGATCCTGTCGACCTCAACAATGCTGACCCAGAAAAGCAAGACCTTGACGCTGATCCCTCTGAGATCCCGGAGCTTGTTGCTCGAGATCCGGCCCGAGATCGTGCGATGGTAACGGAGTTGATAAGAGTTTTGGATGGAGAAGCTGCAGTCGCCGTCGAAGTTGACGGAGAAGTTGCCGGTGGTGGGGTCGAGGGAGTAGGAGGTGGCGCCCTTGGGGAGGAGGCCGATGGGGAAGTTGTAGGATTGGAGGATCTCGTAGGCGGTTGGCGCGGCGGAGGACAAGAGGGGTAGGGTTACCGCGGCGGCGGCGGAGGACCAGAAGCCGAGGAGGAGGAGGACTTTTGCTGGGTACATTTTTTGCCCCGTTCTTCCTTTGGAGAGAGGGTTTGTGAGTCTCGGGGCCTGGGTTGTTTGATTTGTTATGTATGGGGTTTGGGGGAGTTTGCGTAAAGGGAGAACGGAGAAGAGAGGACACGTGCGTGCCTTGACTGGGGAGTCCTGGAGGTTTGTGTAGGCGGGGTGGCAATTTACGACTCGACCCATTAATTCGAACCGATCCAACTTGTTAATGGTAGGTTTGAATTAAATTATATGGGTCGGATCATAAACGGGTCGATCCAAATTTACCCATTTATTAAATGGGTTGACCTATTGACCCGTATAACACAAATCCTAACACGTATAACACAACCAACACTTTGTTCCCTCACTCCCTTGTAAACGTGCCGCTCCAGAGAGAGAGAAAAAAAAAAGAAAAGCGGCAGAGAGAAAGAAAAGCCCTAGATCCCATCACGAAGCTCAAGCGGCGAGCGGCCCTAGATCCCATCACGAAGCTCCAGCGGTGAGCGGCTAACTGTGAGCGGCTAACGGCGAGAGCGGCAAGTTGGCGAGCGCAGAGCGCAGGTGATCTCGCGAGAGCAGGCAAAAGGAGGAGTGGAGATCGAACGGTGATGACGGGCGAGAAGTGGCAAACGAGAGTGCACAGGGCGATTGAGAAGGTGACTAGCGTCCTGGGAGTGGCGACGAGAAGCGAGCGATGACCGGCGACGATGAGAGCTTGAACTTTGCTGTAAGTTTTCATTTGACTCTCTTTTCCTTTTGAAAAGGTTTGATTAAGATCTACTGGATTATTATAGACTATCCTTTGCCAAGGACGAAGCCTTAATTTCCAGTATTTATTGAGATTATTTTGAACGGTACCAGTTAACTCTGAAATTTTGGATTATTTTGTTGGGTAGGTGCCGCGGGGTTATTTTTTGTTGGGCAGGGGTTGATATTTTGCCTCTTTGAGCTTTTAGAACATCTATAGGAACGGAATTCCCAGTTTAATCATAATTTTGTTGTGAATTCTGCTTGAATCTTTAACACACGAGCAAAAAATGTGATTTCTAACTCGATTATCATCCTTTTTTCAAAGAATATTTAGCTTCGTGCAAGCATGCATGATCTTAAACACATGCCTAATGTCGTGCCTGCTTCAAGGAAATTTTAGCATTGTAATAATGGCAGATTGTCTTATTTTTTCCACTGTTACATCAATTGTGTGCTTCAGTATTTTTTTACGTACGTATATAAAATAAATATGTTTACTACATGATATATGCAATAATTTATTGATTTCATGTAGATAATTTTTCATTATACATATTTTTCTATGTAGATTGAAGCCTAGAATGTTGTGTTTATTTCCAGTATTTATTTACATTAGTTTTTTTTGACCTTATTAAGAAATTTTGTCTAAATCAAACTGTTGTATTAAACTTATACAAATTTGTATTTTTTTCACAGTTGGAGTCAAATCCTACCAATAATCCTATAAAGGATGGTTTAGAAGTGAGTTCATCTAATGAAGAAGAATTAGAAGAAATATCTAGTTCTATTAAAAAAAACGTAGAGGGATAATTGACAATAAGAGAAAAAGAAGACTAACATCTAAAGCTTGGAAAATGTTTGATCTTGTTACGATCGAGCCGGGAGGGAAACAATATTCAGTATGTAACATCTAAAGCTTGGAAAATGTTTGATCTTGTTACGATCGAGCCGGGAGGGAAACAATATTCAGTATGTAAGAAGTGTGGAATCCAATACATCGGATCTTGTTACGATCGAGCCGGGAGGGAAACAATATTCAGTATGTAAGAAGTGTGGAATCCAATACATCGCCGAAGGTAACCATGGGACAAAAAATATGTTAAGACATATAAAAAATTGTAAGAAAGCTACTAGAAAGGATATTGAGGATTTATCCAACTCAAAAGATTCTATAATGAGTTCTTCAAGATTTAATTTTGACGCGGATAAGTTTAGGGAGCTCTTAGTTTTGGCCATCATTATGCACGATTTGCCATTTTAATTTGTTGAGTATGAAGGTATTCGAGCAATCTTCTCATATCTTTGTGAGGATCTAAAACAAATATCAAGAAATATGGTTAAAGTCGATGTTCTTAAAATCTAAGGAAGGGAGAAAAATAGGCTAAAAGAAGATTTTGAATCGATTCCGGGTAGAATTAATTTCACTTCCAATTTGTGGACATTAATAGCCACATATGGATATATTTGTCTCACGGCACACTACATTGATCATGAGTGGAAATTATAAAATAGGGTTCTTAACTTTTCTTATATGCCACCTCCTCATTCCGGTGTTGCCATTTGAAAGAAGATCCATAAGTTGTTAGTTGATTGGAAAATTGAAAAAAAAAATTGTTTTCTTTCACTCTTGATAATGCTTCCGCAAATGATGTTTTTGTTGATTTATTGAAAAACAACTTAATTTGAAAGAAGCACTTCTTGGGAAGGGAGAATTTTTAAACGGGTCGAATTGCATTGACCCATTTATTAAACAGGTCGGGTCAGGTCATACTTATATAGGTCAGGTCATAGTTGACCCTACTCGACCCGATCCGACCTATTTGTCACCCCTAGGTTTGTGCCTTATTAATAGGCAACCAGTTATGGCTTTGTCATGGGTCAGATTCAGGTGGTTATTCGGATTCGGGTCGGGATTAAGGATCCTAGTCTGAATTTTAATGAGAAGAAGAATTCTGCGCCGAAATTTTGAGGCCTTCTGTGTGACGCCCCTGTTTTCACACATAGCTGTAATCCAAGGCGAACCTTGAGATGTCAAACCTACCATGCATCCACACTGTACAACAACACGTTTCACCATCACAGTAATATCTCTCTAGTGGAATAAAAAACAAGTGTAGGTATAAAACATGCAAAATAAGGGAAATAAATACATTAGACATGATGTAGAAAAAGATATCTAATAAATATAATCATGTCTCAACTGAATAAACTGAATACAACTGAAGTCTGAAATAAATGTAAAGTATCTCAATATTAGTCAACTGAAAATAAATTAAGGCACACAACCTTTACAAGATAAAATATAAAACTCTAAATGTCCGAAAGAAAATATCAACTATGGTGGAGTCTCATCTACTAAAAACATGTGACGACGACTATGCTAGAAGTCCGTTATCCTGCGGCTCTCTGAAACTCTGAGCTGCTGTCTGAAAGGAATTAGAAAATAAAAAGAAAAACAATAAGAGCGTCAGAGCGCTACAGCAAGATCATCTCCATCCGCCCCCAGAGGAAGGACTACTAGATGTGATGGAGGCTCTATCTATTAAGCATAGTCTACCTAGATCATTTACCATGTATCTAAAATGAATTAATATTTAGAAACCTATAACACGAGACATAGTACGTCGAGCGGAATAATCTAAATAAGGAAACTCTTATGTATATACTATATGTCTTAAATTGTAAATAAGGACAAATTTTCAAAACCAACCCCTTTCACTATTTAATTGCAAAAAACGACCGCTTTTCAACTTATTTAGAAAAACCGACCTGGTTTCAGCGCTGTCGCTGAAACCAGGTCGGTTTTTCTAAAAATTTTTACGAAACTTCACGGGAGTTGAACTCCCGTGAAGTTTAGCATACTTTTAAACTTCACGGGACTTCAACTCCCGTGAAGTTTAATTTTTTTAAAAAAACTTCACGGGAGTTGAACTCCTGTGAAGTATGTTGGAGGATTTAAAACTCCAAGTGGAGTTACATGCCAAATTTCCCAGAGAATCGCTCTCTGGGAAATTTAGACTACAACTTCATGGGAGTTGAACTCCAGTGAAGTTGCAGGTATTACAAAACATGCACAGGCTGCTGTGCATGTTTTGTACACATCTACCTATTTTGTATACATCTACCTATTTAACTCATATATACAACTATTTACCTGTTAACAACAATTACTACAATATATATATGATTTAAACATGCACGAATTAAACAATACTCAAAAAGATCACATATCGAGCTATAATTGATCCACAAAAGTATAGTATTTCAAAATTCATACAAGTTACAAATTTTAACAAAATAAGTTCAAATACAACCCAATATAACTTCTCTCCTTCCTCTCCCTATCTTCCCCCTCCCCCTCGTTCTTCCCCGCCCCCTGCGCTGATGAGCCTCAACTATCTGAGTATCTGACTGTGTATGAGGCTGAGAAGTGTCGGCTCCATCAGCATGCGAAGTGCCGGCTCCATCGGCCTGCGAAGTGCCCGCCGTCATCGTCACGTGGCCGTCGGCGCCGAGTGTACGCCTGCTCAAATGATCGAGACCTGTCCTCACGGCCTGCAAACTCGTCGACGTGAGTCTTATGAAACACCTGCGTTATGGTCTTCTTAATCCTACTGAGGAGTCCTAACGCCGCCGAATCCCGAATCTCAGGCACGATCGCATCAATATCAGCCTCAATGCTATCAAAAGCACGGACCTGTGAGGTAAATAATTTATTAAGTACCAACTCAAGAAAAAATATTATAATTTAGCTTAGAAACTTACGTAATCTCTCTCGTTCATCCCACTAGGGATGTAACTGTCTGTCGGTGGGCGTGGCATGTGTCCAGCTAATGGATGTGGGTCACGTGTGATCCATCTACGTGTGATCCCCCAATACCAACACATATATGCAGTATAGCCAATAGATGTGGGCCTCGTATCTTGGATGAAATCCCACATGTGAGCCCACCTGTCTATGTAGGCCGCACGGACTATGGCCCAGTCAGTATGGTGCGAAGTAGGTCGCCACCGACGATCGATCTGCTCGACAGGATCTGGCACATGCTGAGAGAGCGTAAACCGTCGTAGCACACGGTCAGGGACATGCATCTCCATGATCTCCCAACAAATCAATAGAACTCTGGCTCTCCACAAGTCGGGATTATCTCGGCAGATGGATGCAAGAGAATGCATATCGAGCTTCGGCGGTGTATAGGGTCTCCACTTGAACTGAAATAAAATAAAACATTTATCAGTATTAACAACAAAACTATAATATTCATAACGACTTGAGATTTATATTTACCTGTTTGTGTTGGCGGCCATCAAGCTCATTTCGGTAAAACTCACGATGGCGCGTCGCTGATCGCTACTTAGCGTACCGCACGTTATACCTATATGCAGAATAGAGAATATATAAGTACAAATTGAGT